TCCAACTTGACAGCACAGTTTAAAAAAACAACAACACAAAACTGTAGAAATCATGGTGGCTAATTGCCACTAATCAATAATGCAGCCGTTGCATTCCTGATCATCCAACCAGGAACACCACCAGCATCTCCTAAGTTAATAGCAGTTCACCCCTAGGACTTACATGATTTTGCTCCCCGCATGTAAATCGCTGCTAGGAATCTGGCCACCGCTAGATAAGGTGGCTCAGTCTCCGCATGAGATTACCCCAGCCTTCCCAGTGAGTTTGCTGGCTCAGTGAGGACTAGAAGCTTGACCTCGCTGGTCCCAAACCCATACTCTAACCACTACGCCTCACAAGAGACTGCAGCCAGAACAACAAACTCCCCAAAGCAAACAGCAACAGGCTATTTGGAAATTGCGAGGGAAAAAATTGCAAAAAAGGGAAGGGATGCGTAAATAAATCAAGCCCAGCACGGAGGGGAGGGAATGATAAATCCCATCTAATTTCCCCCACCTGTTTTTTTGTTCTACACTCTCTATTTTTTGGGGAGGGGGAGCCTTGGGAGGAGAAGAAACAGATGTATCGATTTCTTCTCCCCAGTTCCACCCATCTTGCTCCCCCCTTGCCTTTTTATCTCCCCCTCCCTGAGAACCTGACCTCCTTAATCTCCTCCTCCCATGTTAAACTTACTGATTCCCACGTGCCAGCATTCAGAGATTCAAAATCCAGTTTTCTGGGGAAAGGGGGAGGAGCCTTTATGGAGTGTGTGCCTCACTGGAGGACCGTCTGGCTTCGGGGGAGGGACTCCCCCCCATCCCGGGCCCTTCTAGGAAACAAGGCTCGACGCCTTTAACTCTTTGGGGCCCGGAAGAGAGCTCGGACCCCGGAATAAAAAAATAAGCCATGTTCCACATTAAAAAGAACGACGCTTGAAATGATGAAGGATGATTTTATTTTATTTTATTTTGCTCTGCTTTGTTCTGTTTTATTATATCAACCGAAATCTAGTTGCTTAGCAGAGTAAATCACATTTAGAGGAGGCCCATTGATTCCATGGGGATGGGGTGAGTCTTCTCCTCCATAGGTTCCATGGATTCTTAGAAATGCAGAGTTGGATGGGACCCTCTGGATTGTTGAGTCCAGCCCTTGCCAAGGAGGCACAGACGGGGAATCGAACTCCCAACCTCTGGCTCCAAAGAGCTTCCTCTTACTAAGCCTTTCTGTGTTGAAATAAATCAGTAAGTTAGAGGAGGTCCATTTGAATCAATGGAACCTAATTCCACAGACTGTGGACCGCACTGCTACAGATTTGCTCCATGTTCAGAAATTCACAGCTTAGGATAAATTGCATTTAAAATACGTCATGCTGGGTGGGTGGATGGGTCACCCTTCCAAGGAAGTGGGGAAAGTATGTTAGGAAAATGACCTATGAATTTTGCCCATGTTTGCTGGCTGACGCAAATACCAGTCGGAATTAAAGTCAAGGAGAAAATGGACGAAATGTGAAATTGATCAAGTCCCTGATCACCCTTCCAAGGAAGTGTACACAATGGGGAAAATATGTTAGGAAAATGATTATAGGTCAGAGAACACACACACACAGAGAGAGAGAGAGAGAGAGAGATTTGTATGGCTTTTCAGAGGGTGGTATGTGAATTTTGCCCATGTTTGCTGGCTGACGCAAACATCATTCGGAATGAAAGTCAAGGAGAAAATGGCCAAAATGTGCAATTGATCGAGTCCCTGATGCCTAAACCTGAATTGGATACAGTGTTTCTTACTGGACTAACAATAGAGTTGTTCCATTCATTTCATTCCTGCCTAAACAGGAAACAAAGCCATACATCCTAATCCTGATTATTTCATGTTTTGCACAGAAACTAATTTTTCTCCCCAAAACGGTTGTCAGGATAGGACACAGAGATCTCCAGAAGAGATGGCCATCGCTGGAATACAGATGCTTGATGGGCACACAACAAGGGACTTTATTATATACATTCCTTGTGCTCGAGAGTCAGGATCAGTCCCCACTCTTGTTCCTTTTACAAATCTGATAAAGGCACTTTGGCCCAAATTCTTTTACATAAATACCCCAGTGTATGGGAAATGACGTAACTCACAGCATCAAATAGCTACTTGGGCCTCGCTTGGATTCCTCATGGCACACCAGTGGAGTGGCTTGGCAGATGACCCAGAATGCAAGCAGGGGCTCCTTAATAGTCAACAATTTGCCATATCAACAACCTCCGATATGCAGATGATACCACTCTGATGGCAGAAAGTGAGCAGGAATTAAGGAACGTCTTTTTGAGGGTGAAAGAGGAGAGTGCAAAAAACAGTCTGAAGCTCAACATAAAAAAACCCCCTAAGATCATGGCCACTGGTCCCATCACCTCCTGGCAAACAGAAGGGGAACATATGGAGGCAGTGACAGATTTTACTTTCTTGGGCTCCATGGTCACTGCAGATGGTGACAGCAGCCACGAAATTAAAAGATGCCTGCTTTTGGGGAGGAAAGCGATGATAAACCTAGGCAGCATCTTAAAAAGCAGAGACATCACCTTGCCGACAAAGGTCCGCATAGTCAAAACTATGGGAGGCAGTGGAAGACAGGAGGGTCTGGCGTTCTCTGGTCCATGGGATCACGAAGAATCAGACACGACTTAATGACAACAACACAGGCTAGCTCTACTCATAGAAGGCCCAGTGGGGAGAATCGAACTCTCAACTTCTGGTTCCACAGCCAGAGACCCAAATCCCTGAGCCAGCCAGTCAGTTACAGTATTGAATCAACAGGAAAGTGGAAAATCAACACTTCTGTACATTCCACTGACTCAATGCATCTGGTCCGATTTCGTACTCATGATGGAGTAAGGCCATAACTATTTCAATTCTTATTATTCTGGGATAATACTGATCTGTACTCAATCCATTTGACAGCTTGGCATTTAGCGACAAATTGTCTATAAGTAAATTCTGGCTGGAAAAAAAAAACTTATGATGAGTACCTCACATTTGTAAAAATCTGAAATTACATTTTAGGGTTTGGGTGGATTTCCCCTCTGAATTGCTAGGGGTCAGCCTTCAACCAGCTCCGTCTGATTGCCCAGTTATGCCCCTAACTTGATGTGTCCTTGGTGATACTGGTCCACACACCGGTGATCTTAAAGATGGACTACTGCAATGCTGTCTACGCAGGGCTCGCCTTGAAGTTGACTCAAAGACGGCAACAGATATAGAATACGGTGGCCAGATGAATCACTTCGATCATATATTCCCAGTGCTGTATCAGCTGCATTGGCTTCCTGTGCCTTTCCCAAGCCAGGATCAAGGTGTTGGTATTAACATATACATCCCTCAATGATTTGGGACCCTGTTATCTGTTAGTGTGCCTCCCCCAAAGAAGATCGGCTCATGCCACCTGATCCGACTCAGGCTGGTCTCTTACAGGCTACACATTGCTTCCATTCTAAATGAGCGGAGTACAGTGGTACCCCGACTTACGACCGTCCCTACTTGCAAACAATTCGAGTTACGAACAGCTCAGTTCGCAAAAGGTTGCTTCAACTTGCGAATGGAGCCTCGACTTACGAGCCAAAAAAAGAGAAAGAAACCCTTTCCTGCCCCCTTTTTTTGACCTAAGTTCACCTTAGGTCAAAAGAAGAAAAAAAAATAAAAAAATTGCCCCCTAGTGATAGGTCAAAAGAAGAAAAAATAAATAAAAAATTGCCCTCTAGTGGTAGAGGACAGATTAATGGGCTTTGCATTAGTTCCTATGGGAACTAATGCCTCTACCTATGAACAGCACCTCGACATACGAACGAAAAACAGCCTGAACGGATTAAATGGTTTTCAATGCATTCCTATGGGAAATGGTGCTTCGACTCACGAATGTTTCGAGTTACGAACGCCGTTCCAATATGGATTAATTTTGTAAATCGAGGTATCACTGTACTCAAGTAACTGACCTCAGACGGACGGAAGGTGGAGTGAACCTTGAGCTGGCTACCTGAGCCTGCGGGGATCAAACTCAGATCGTGAGCGGAGTCCTCCCTGTAGTACTGCAGTTGAACCACAGCTCTGCACTAAATTGGGCTGTACGCAAATAACTGAAATAAAGAAATAAATCCCTTCCCATTGGTTGAGCTAGCTGTTTTTTCCAATCATTCATCAGGCTGAGCTGATGGGATTTTTAGTCCCCCAGCAGGTGAATAGAGACATATTCACCTGCTAAATATAATTCCAAAGGCCCTATTAGGCAGCCTCTCTCTCTTATGACTCCTCAAGTGAATTAGTGCAGTGTTTTCTCACTGTCCATCTTCAAAAATGTGACAAAATGTTTGTTGTTGTTTGTTGTGTGCTGTCAAATTGGAATCGACCCACAACGACCCGAATTAGGGATTTCAAAGTAAGTGAGGGATTTAATAAGTGGTTTTACGAGTTCAGTTCCCTCAATGAGTTTCAATGGCTAAGCGAGGATTTGAACCCTGGTCCTAGTCCAGAGTCCCAATCTGTCACTCCATCCACTACACCACACAACGTCATCAGCTAAACATAGACTCTGTCATTATTATCTATTTTTCCACTTTGTCTATTCACTTCCCTCCAGAACCCGAAAAGCTGAACACCAGTATAACCCTAACATTTTTATTTATTTACTCAAGATATTTATATACAAATATAAAACAAAAATAACCTCTAAAATCAGGACAAATACAAACCAGCTGAAACAGTATCAAAACATTAAAAATAGCAAGATGATAAGAGCCAGCAAGAAAACTTAAATAGTTAAAAACAAGAATAAAAATACAAATTAAGTACAGTAGGACCCCCTTATCTGCAGGATCAGGATCCCCTGATTCACTTATCTACAGTCTGAAAATATTAAAATTATTAAAAGAAAAATCCTAGAAATATGTATTTCCACAATGTCATTACTAAAACTGGCCACTAGAAGGGGCTAGAGATCATGCTATGTATAGCATTTGCTATTAAAACAGAGTTCACTACAATCTGCAGATCATGCTATGTATAGCGTTTGCTATTAAAACAGAGTTCGCTACAATCTGTGTTTTTCAGCATCCACGGGGGGCGGGGCTTGGAACCGATCCTTTGTGGATATGGGGATCCTACTGTATTGCATACTTGTCGGAGGAGGAAAAGCTTGCTTGAAAGGAAAAGTAGATTTCTGCAGAAACCAAGATGAGAAGTTATCTTTGTGAACGATACATGCTAGCTTCTCAGCTTTGGTCATCTTTTAGTTCAAAGGGAGAAAAAAAATCCTGCCTCAGCTCTCAGGTTTTTGAGAAACACAGCCCCGTCGGCGGCTTCTCCCGCGTGTGCTTCCTCACAATGTGTTTGATCACGTGGGCGCTCTGGGTGAAGTTCCTCTGACAGACCAAACATTTGTAAGGCCTTTCGCCTGTGTGCATCCTCTTGTGCACCAGAAGAGCTGAGGAATGCCGGAAGCTTTTCCCGCAGTCGGAGCACTGGTACGGCTTCTGCTCCGTGTGGACCACCGCGTGTTTCAACAAGGTTGTCTTCTGGTTGAAGCTTTTCCCGCAGTCGGAGCACTCAAACGGCTTCTCTCCCGTGTGGATCCTCTGGTGCCTGTTGACGCTCGACTGGGTGGCAAATATTTTCCCGCACACTGGACAGGGGCACCTTCTTTTAATTTTGTTGAACTCAGACTGGGATTTCACTTGACAGAGTTCCCCCGTAGGACCTATAATGGACTGATAATTTATTTCTCTGCTCTCGTTTCTCGCCGCCTTCTCCGGCTCCTCTTGGTTGCTCAAGAGATCTTCTGCCTTGAATATTTCCCGGGGCATTTGCCACGCTTCCTTTTCTTCCTCATTCGGCGACTTTCCCTTCGCCATGCTCGCTCTCCGCCGGAAGCTCTTCCTGCAGGATGAACATTTATACACTTTTGTTCCGGAAGGATCCACCTGGTAGGTCGTGATGCCCCACTTCAGCTTGAAGTTTTTCCCGCAGTCCGAACACTGATACGATTCCTCTTCCCCATGGAAGCCCTTCTTGCAAGCCGAGCATTTGTACACTGTCACACCAGAGGGGTCGATCTGGCAGTCAGTAACGCCCCATTTCAGCTTGAAGCTTTTCCCGCAATCCGAGCACTGGTACGACGCCTCCTCCCCGTGGCCAACCTCGTGGGCCAGGAGGTACGTCTTCCGGTTGAAGCCTTTCCCACAGTGGGAACACTTGTAGGGCTTCTCCCCTGCATGGATTATTAGATGTCTGTTCAGGCTTGACTTTCGGGTGAAAGCTTTCCCACAAATTGGGCACGCGTGCTTTAGTAGCCCCTTGGATAACACGCCGGGGACAGTGACCCTGCAAATTTCACCATCCACCAGCTCCCATTTAGGTTTTTGCTTCCACTCCTGCGGTTCATCTTCCGACTGCTCCCCAGGTTCTGCTTGATGATCAGCTGCTTCGTCTTCCGCCACGTACTCCAGCTTCTCAAATGGCACCCCTTGCGATTCCTTATCAAACTCGTCCACCAGTCTATCATCATCATCGTTATCATCATCATCATCATCTGGAATAGAGAACAGGTTGTTGATTGTTGTATTTTTTTAAGTCAAAGGCATTGCTAGGTGATCACGTTATGAGATCACTAAAAAAAACTTTAAAAATGCTAGCTTTCAACCCATACATTCATCAGAGAGGGTGGGGGACTGAATTTTCCACCACTAGAGAGGTTGGATCTGGACCCCATAACAAATAATTTAGTTACCTCCTGGCTGGATTACTGTAATGCAATCTATGTGGGGCTGCCTCTTGAATGTGCTCAGAAACTTCAGCAGGTCCAGAACACCACAGCCAGATTGTTAACTGGCTGGGAACATATAACTCACCTGTTACAGCAGCTCCACTGGTTGCAGCTGGCCCAAGACTACCCAGGCTGACTCTTCTCCCAAGAGCCCCAGTGGGGAATCAAACTCCCAACCTCTGGCTCCGCAGCCAGATACGTAACTCACTGATCTATTCAGCCAGCTGGCTGTCAAATAGGCATATTATTTTTTAAAAAAATGATTTTATTTACACTCCATCTTTCCATGAAAAAGACACTCCGTATTACAATTACTTTTAAACCCACTTTTCAGAAATTCTCTAAATGAAAAATAAGGTGCGTAGAATCCAGAATCAGCCATGTTTTCAAAGGGGTTTAAGTATCTGGCTGCAGAGTTCAATTCCCGACTGGGCCTCCTAGAAGAAGAGCCAGCCTGTGTAGCCTTGGGCCAGCTGTACACTTCGAAATATATGCCCAGAAAAAGGGAGTGGTTAAATGACTTCTGAGTATTCTTTGCCTGGAAAACCCTGAGAGGGATCTGACTATCAGTCAGAATTGACAGAATTATTACTATTAGCTGTGTTAAACCCATTCAGTAAAACCAAGAATTTTGTGTCACCTCAAAGACTACCAAGTTCACCCGGCGTCCATTTTCATGGATCTCCATCGGATGAAATGAGAAACAGTCCCTGGAATTACATGCCACATTACAAAAATGTTTCCCCTTCAAGGTGCCACAAGACATTTTTTTGTAACAGGCTGAATCTGATTTAAATCCAATAGATTTAATTCACAATTTAAACATATTGTTTGTTTGTTTCTTAAATGTATATACCGCTTCATTAGTGCAGTGCAGACTTCTGAGAAGTTTACAACAAAAAAACAGTCAGTCAAATGAAAATAAAAATACAGTATTTGCGATCGCATTGCGATGTTCCCTATGGGGAAAAATCGCTTTACAGCTGATCCAAAATGGCCGCTGGATAAACAAAATGGCCACCCGCTGTGTTTTCGCGCTGATTCCTTGCTTACCGGGCAGCAAAAATGGCGGCCGTATGGCGAATTTTCGCTTTAAGGTGAGTTTTAAGCCCATAGGAACCCATTGAAGGGGTTTCAATGCATTCCTATGGGCTTTTAAAAATCGCATAGCGACGAAATCGCTTTGCAGCGATTTTTGCTGCACCGATTATCGTTGCTATGCGAGGCACCACTGTACACAAAAGAAGAAGCATGAACGACAACTAATATGCAGGACATGAGCCACATTGCAAAGGCCAGGCTGGGTAACCTAGAAAGGCTTTGCGGAAAAAAATATTTAAACATTAGGCACAGCTGTGCTTGGAATTGGTTGTTGGTGCCACGACGGAGAAGGCCCTGGGTCTGATAAATGAGATTCTCTCACCTCCTTTAGAATGGCCACCTGGAAGAACATTGCCCGGGAAGACCTAGTGGTGCGGCTAAATTACATTGGGAAATGTCACAATTTAAATCGCTAGTCAGTAAATTTTTAAAAAACGCAATTTAAAATTGAAAAATCCAACGTTTTGATTTAAAAGAAAATTAAATCAATTTTGATTTAAATCAATTTGATTTCACTCAAAATCCACCCTGTCTGCCAAGGCAGGCCATGCCACAGCAGGAACGTGCGGTATGCCGAGATTTGGTTGAAACAACACTCCCAACCAGACACAACCCTTGCTGGAGGGGAAGGGAATTAGATTCAAACACAATCTGGAGGGCCATCGGTTCCCACAAGAAAACCTTGGAAAGTTTCCTCTCTCTCTCCAACGTCGCTTCTCGGAGCGGCCACCTCGCTCTGCCTTAGAGTAGAGCCGCCCGGCTCTGATTCTTACCCAGATACATGGCGTCTCCCGCGCTCTCCTGCTTGATGCGTCCATACGGCTCTGTGTTGTCGGCTTCCAGCAACATCGGGTCTTCTTCAGAGGCACCCGCGGCCTCTCCGTCAGATGGGCACAACACCTGGACCCATGAATAGAGGAGATCCCATTAGTTCGGGGTGGGCAATTTTGCTAGGGGTGGGAGAGGAAGGCACATGAGAGAGAACCAAGTCCCATGACCTCTGGAGAGTGCACGGAACAGAGGCCATTAAGTGCCCCACAAGTTCCCTATAGATCAGAGACCAGAAAGCGGTGGCCCACAGACCCCTCGGGAGGTAATACAGCCCACCATTTTTCCTCCAGAGGGCCATCTCCACACTCATTCCTAGGAACCAAATTTCTTATCTTCCATCAGGAGTGGAATGGAGATAAGAGATTTCCCCAGCTTCTTTCTCACTCTATGACACCGTGGTCTTCAAGGAACGCTTGTGTCACCGGCAGCTTATGACCTTTTCAAAGGTCACCGCTGAGGTGTGAGATGCTAACCCTCCTTTCCACTTCATTATGGAACACAAGGTTCACTGGAAGGACAGATCCTGAAGCTGAGGTTCCAGTACTTCGGCCATCTCATGAGAAGAGAAGACTCCCTGGAAAAGACCCTGATGCTGGGAAAATGTGAAGACAAGAGGAGAAGGGGACGACCGAGGACGAGATGGCTGGACAATGTCACCGAAGCGACCACCATGAATTTGACCAAACTCCGGGAGGCAGTGGAAGACAGGAGGGCCTGGCATGCTCTGGTCCATGGGGGTCACAAAGAGTCGGACATGACTTAACAAAAAAATGAAACACAAACCCTCCCTTTCCGCTGGAATGAGGATTTCAGGGATGCGTGCAAGTCTTTTGGGCACGAAGCCAAAGCCTCGAGTTCAAGTCTTCACCCCCCGCCAGGACCAATGTCCCAAGCTTCGAGTTCAAGTCTTGAGCGGCTTGCCCTGCACCCCCAGGTCTTTGGGTCCCAGTCCCGAGTTCGGGACTTGAGACTGGGACCCAAAGACCTGGACTGAGCATGTGCCACCCAACGGATAGGTTGGCACATGCACAGAGACACCAGGCCGACTTCCCTTCCCGGAGCTGGCCCCTGCCTCCGCGTATGCGCTGGCCTGTCGGCTGGGGGGGGCAGGCGCGTGGGTGGAGGCGGCGCGCCGAATTCCTGGATGGGAACCTGGGCCTTGCTTCATGTTGTAAACCTGCCCAAAGTGGCCTTGGCTGCCCGATGGGCAGTCGCTGGCCCCTGCCTCTGCGCATGCGCTGGCCTATTGGCTGGGGACAGTGGGCGTGTGGGTGGAGGCGGCGCACCAAATTCCTGGAAGGGAAGCTGGGCCTCCTTGCTTCTTGTTGTAAACCTGCTCAAAGTGGCCTTGGCTGCCCGATGGGTGGTCTATAAATCAAATAAATAAATTCTGAGGAGGATGGCAGCAGCAGTGGCAGACAGGGAAGCCCACCCCTTAAGGGCAAAGATCCTCCATAGGGGCGGCTATTTTCCATGCCTGTGCAGCGATGAATCTATCCCTAAGCACAGCGGGGGGGCATTATTTTCAGCCGGCGGCCATTTTGAAACCCGATGACCAGCTGTTTTTGATCATCGTAAAGCGAAAATTGGTTCCCGAAGCAGGGAACCGATCATCGTTAAACGAAGAAAAAACCACTGGAATCATTGTTTTGCGATTGCAAAAACCTCACCGTCAAGCAGATTCGTCGTTAAATGGGGTAATCGTAAAGCGGGGCACGACTGTAAATAAATTATGAGGAGGATGGCAGCAGTGGTGGCAGGCAGGGAAGTCCGCCCTTTAGGGATTCGAAAGGCGACTCAGAAAAATGGTTCGGGGTCATGCGACTAGCCCGAGAATGCCCCTCAATAAGCCCCAAGGGGAGTCCAAGTCTAGTCGCTGGTGTGACTCAGGAATCCCCATCCCTGGTAGATGAAGCCTCCAGGTTGAAATTCATCAAAAGCCTAGAAGCAACACAGTGATGGAGAAAGGGAGGAAAGCTCTTATCTCCAATCCGTTGCTGATTGGAGATAAGAAGTCTGAGGGCTCCATGCAGAGAAGAGGCCTGTGCAAAGTCCATGAATGTGTAAACCTCCCCGTGCGTGTGCGTGGATGGGGTTATGTGTCAACAATGGGGTGGCCCCCACCCTTGCTAGCAAGCACCCCATGGATGTGAATGCCCAGCTCCTCAGTGACCTACAGATTCCCCCCCCAAAGGACATAGGGCAGGTCCGTGACTCACCTGGCCTCCTTCCCATTTCTCCGCCTCCTCCTGCCTCGCCAGGAACTCCTCAGCCAGGGCCACCGCCTGGGAGCCGGTCTCCGTCCCGTGCTCCCGGACCCAGTTTCGCATCTCGGTCGGCAGGATGGCCAAGAACTGCTCCAGGACCACCAGGTCCACCATCTGGTCCTTGGTGTTCCTCTCCGGTTTCAGCCACCCACGGCAGAGCTCCTGGAGATGGTGGAAAGCCCGGCGGGGCCCCTCAGCGTCCGGGTAGCAGAACCCCCGGAAATGTTGGCGCTGGACTTCGGCGTGGATGGTCCCGTTGCTCGCCAAGTCCTCCTTCCCCCGTGGAACCCCAGCTTTCAGGGTTTTTAACGTCACCCGCCTCCCCTCTGGAAGAGCGGGTTGGAGCCCCTCCACCCAGTTCCTACCAGGGGGTCCTAGATGGGCCGCTGGGGGAACCAGACAGGATTTGGCCTCAGATGGTGGCGTGTGTCCCCATACGGGGCGAGAGAACTCGTCTTCCTTCACGAAATCTTGCCACTGAGTCTCCCAGACCTGGAACTGCCCTTCCTCGGGCTCCGATTTAACCCGCAGGGGACTTTCTCCGTCCGTCCCAACCTGGACAACATGGAGGTTGTTTCCGGATCCTTCTAAAGCCCCCTCCTCGGCTGCCGGGATCGCCTCTTTCATCTTCATCCTTGGACGATGATCCTTGCGATTCAGCGTCGCTGGTGGCTGGGGAACAAAGCCGAAAATGGAGATGAAGGTATTTTTAAATTTAAATTTTTTTTTTTTTTGATTCTGCTATGATTTTCTCCCAAAGCTGGGCCTCAGGGCAGCTCACAACCACATATATATAAAAAAAGAAAGAAGTACCTCAGTGTGGTGTAACATGATATTTATTGGGGGGAAGTCCTTACTCCACACAGAGCAGTAACAATATGTACACATCAGGTATGGCTCTATGGCATTGGGTTGGACTTGACAGCCTTACAGGCCCCTTCCGATGCAATTATTTTATGATTCTACACTTCTGGAAACACTGTCCTGGAACCTGGACATTTCAAGCTTCTAGTCCTCAGTGAGTTTTCCCCTTGGAACTCACAGAACCATCTTAGGCTGGACTTCCCCTCAGCCTGATCTACCTCACAGGATCGTTGTTGTGAAGATAAAGTGGAGAGGAGAGAAACCATTTAAGCTCCATGGAGGAAAAGCAGGATTTAATACAACTAATAAAATTAAAATATTATGATGACAGTAGTAACAGTTTAGAATACAGTGTCCATGTATTACAGCCTTTCTCGATCAAGGTGTTTCGTTGTTTTTTCAAATCATGCACCAGGCAGGCTTGAACCTATATTTGAATGTTTTAAGAACTGATTGCCATTTTTTGGCTGCTGCTTTTTAATTTTGTACAGTGTTTTCAATTTTTGCTTTGTTTCCTATTCTGGTTCAGGAGGGAGAGAAAAAAAAAAAAACACCATCTGAAAAGCAAACAGGGGGCTATGACCAATAAGATCTTATTTATTTTTCTAAAACATTTTTACCCCATTTAAAGCTAGAAACAGACAATACACAAATATTAAAAAAAAAAGAACCAGACTAAAATGTTAAACAAAAGCAACTCCAAAAACATATGCAAGCAACAAGGCACATCCATTAAAAAATCTCTCTCTGTCAGGAGAGACCCAACCTGAAGAAGAAGGTCTTGGCCTGCTTGCAAAAGAACAGCAAAGAGGGGGCCAGGCTGGCTTCCAGTGGGAGGGAGTTCCCAAGTCTCTGGGCACAGCGACAGAGACGGTCCTCTCCCGTCTCCCCACCAGATGCACCTATGAAGGTGGCAGGACAGAGAGAAAGGCTTCTCCTGATGATCTTAACACTTGAGCAGGCTCACAAAAAAAAAAGAGATGCAGTCTTTGAAATAGCCTGGACTCAAATATTTACAGTACAGGTGAAAACCAGCATTTGAATTGTGCCTAGAAACCGATCAGCAGCTGATGGAGCTGCTTGTAACCATCACGATGGAGTCGCTGAATGCCTTTTTACAGTGAACACCGTTTTTTTTTACTGTTTCCTTGCTTTTAATTATTCAGTTGCAAATTTCATAAGCATACCGCTTCATTGCTTTTTAACGTTTAACTCCTGATGTTTTTTTAAATTCCATTCCTTTTTAACATTGCGGGCTGCCTCGGCTCCCCTTACAGGGAGAAAAGCCGCCTATGAAACAAATTAATAATATTACTGGCAATGGGGATGATTATTTTGTCATCGGGGCTTGGGGCACAAGATCAAGACATTTCACACAGTCTTAGAAGCAGTTGCAGATTTCAGAAATAACATCATCCTAGCTTTAAAAAAAGAGAGAGGCAATATTAGGAATAAGAATATTATGTTGATATTTAAAAGATACTTTGGGGGGGGGAGTTTGGTTAACACTTATATCTGTTATACCAGTCAATGTTTTTTATAATTTTGACCGATGGTGTCTGGTATTTTGGAATCATCCTCATAGGATTGCTGCCTTTTGGACCCACTAAAGTTTCCAGACCCTTTCCAAAGAGCACCCATAAGACCAAAACCCAGACCCTGATGGAGAGAGACAGAGGGATCTGTCATCCGGGGGGGGGGGGGTTGGGGGAGGGG